AAAAATGTGATTTTGTGACATTTTAATGTGTAACTTGTTCATTTAATTGACGGAATGATCATTTTAGTATTAAAAATAAAAGTTTAAGAATAATTTTAATATTTTTTAAAGTTGAGAGATAATTTTGGTGTTAAAAGTGAAAAATTAAAGGATCATTAACAAAAAAATTAAAGTTTCATATTAAAAAATACTAGGTCAAATCTCAAAATTCATAAATAAATTATCTTTTCAAATATCAATAAAGGCCAATTATTTAATATTTAATATTTAATATATGGCATCTTTATACATGAATTTTTCGTTAAAAATAAATTTAAGTTACAAACAAATTCTCGACGTATTATTATGACATCGCTAAATATAGGACCTACGGGGTCAAAAATGTTGCCGCGAGGCTTAAGTCATTAAACGTCCGTCACAATCACGCTGCTTTCACGCGCATTTCTCCGTTAAGTGAGGCAAGATTTGTTTAGTTTGTGGCGTTGACAGGCTTATAAGTTTAAAAACTCGTTCAGGTATTAAAATAAGATTAGTATTTTTTTACTTTATTTAAACAGTTACAATTTAAGGATTAAAAAAATTATTAATACAGACCTTATTATTTATTTATATTTTTAATATTTAAAAATTATATTAAATTTTAATTAATAAAAAATTAAATTATATTAAACATTATAAAAATCTCAATACTTATTTATTTATTTATAGGATTCAAAATCAAAATTTTATCTTAAAAAAATCTCAAACTCTTTTCCACCTATAAATAGTTGGTACACCAACATTACTATAATTTAAAATTTCTTGATTAAAAAATTATAATTTAAATTGTAGCATTAATCAAAATATTAAATATACTAATCAAATGACCTAGAGGGCCTGATGCGGCACATGCGCTGTATCAAACGTGGCAGAAAAAAAAATATATTAAAAATAATACTTATCCATTTTATTTTTTAAAAATTAAAAAAAAATATTATTTCAAAATTATATTATTTTAATAAATATTTATTAAAAAATATTAAAATATTTGAATTTTAAATATAAAGTAAAATATTTTTTATCTTTTTATCTTCTTAATCTTTTAGAATTAAATTGCACAAACACTAACTCTATATATATTTTGGTTTTTTTCCCAATCACCGCTAGCAATCACATAGGGCAGATAAAACATGATCTCAACTCTCGGCCAATAGGAACAGCATGCGGACCTTTTAATTGCAACTATTAAATTTGATTTGTGCACGTGTCCGCAAATTATCGGTAATCAGCAACAGCTAACTCTGTGGTTGCTCACACCAAATACCAACTAAATTCGCTGATGTATTCAGATAATCACAACAGCCAATCTCCACGTTAGCACGCGCTCTCCTCTGCATACATTTATCTTCTTGCGGCAAATACAACACTATTTAGACACAAATTTATCTTCCTGGTTCACAGGAAATTCTTATACATTATTATCAAAAGACAGAAAAGTAAGATATTGTTTAATCTTTTCTCTCTCCGGGTAATTTATTCTGCGCATGATTCTACTGTTGAGGGTTTTTTTTTTAAGAAAAATGAATTTTTAAGGCAATTTTTTGGGTTAGATTTAGATCTGGAAAAACGTTTGTTGTGGGGTCTGAAATCGTTGCTGTGAAGCTTTCATGACTGGTTGCTTTCCGTGTTTTTGAAGGCTTTCTCATTTCATTTTCTCTCCAGTTGTTGTGGTTTGGTTCATTCAATTCTTGTTTATTCACTTTAGTTGGTTCTGTTAGATCACATTTTTTTTCTACATATTAAGGTGATTTCTCTTGGTTTAATACACTGGGTGTATCAAAAGTTGGGAACTTTGGGTTGGGGTTAGTTCTGTTGATGTTAAGATGGTGAATTTCTTGATCATATGAGTTTTTGGCTGGAAAACATGAGTGGGTTTTTGGTTCTTTTTTTGCAGGATTTGAAGAAGGAAAATGGCTAAGGAAGTTTCAAATGGGGATCATAATTCGGCTACAAAGCCGCCTCCAACCCCATCTCCTCTAAGGTTTTCCAAGTTTTTCCAGGTAAGATATTTGTAGATATGCCAAAGTGATGATGTCCTGGGGAAATTTGGGTGCTTAATACTGTTTGTTTTTTTTATGGCAGTCGAATATGAGGATTCTGGTCACTGGTGGCGCTGGATTCATCGGCTCCCATCTAGTGGATAAGTTGATGGAGAATGAAAAAAATGAGGTGATCACATTTTTGCAATAGTTCTGATATAATGAAGGGTGAAAAGCTTAAGTATATGCGTTGCATTATGTAGAAAATTGTGTTTACATCCTGCTGCCTTTTATGTTGTTCAGGTTATTGTGGCCGATAACTACTTCACTGGCTCCAAGGACAACCTAAAGAAATGGATTGGTCACCCAAGATTTGAGCTTATCCGTCATGGTATGTTCTGTTTTAGTTCTCATGTGCTCAGTGATGCACATTTGGAAATGGTCAGAGTGATATTTATTCATGATCAGATGTTAATGGTTTCTGCCCTTTTTCCTGCAGATGTAACAGAGCCATTGCTAGTTGAGGTTGATCGGATATACCATCTGGCTTGTCCTGCTTCACCAATCTTCTACAAATACAATCCTGTGAAGGTAAGAGTTATCTGCACTCTTAGGTTGTCTGAGACATCCAATATTAAAAATCCTCAGTAGCTTTTGTCACTTTTCTTTAAAAACTGTATTTCCGTGACACTAAACAGACAATAAAGACAAATGTGATCGGTACATTGAATATGTTGGGACTTGCAAAGCGAGTTGGAGCAAGGTTTTAGACTGTTACTTCATTTCTCTTTGTTATAATTTTTATTTACCAATTCACGCTTTCACCGTTGATGCATGATTGGAACAGAATTTTGCTAACATCCACCTCTGAAGTATATGGTGATCCACTTGAGCATCCCCAGACTGAGAACTATTGGGGAAATGTTAACCCTATTGGTAAGTTTTTATCTAGTAAGATGGTTGAGTCTATGTTTTGCATTATGGTGGAATGGATACATAAAGTGTAGTCATTTATTCATATTAACATTGCATTAACTTGTACTGCGTACAACTTAAACAAATCTGTTTGTGTATTATATTCCAGGAGTTAGGAGTTGCTATGATGAAGGAAAGAGAGTAGCTGAAACTCTGATGTTTGATTACCACAGGCAGCATGGAATAGGTAAAAAGATGCAATGTTTAGTTTGGGTTTCTGTTTGCTTTCTTTCTCTTATGTGGATTTTTACTCATTTCTTATATGATGGTTCCAAAAACAGAGATAAGGATTGCTAGAATTTTCAATACTTATGGACCACGCATGAACATTGATGATGGTCGTGTTGTCAGCAATTTCATTGCTCAAGCAATCCGGTAAATGTTATTCTTGCTAGTTCTTTTATGCTTTGCAACCATTTCATTTTTCTTCTCTTTTTTCTCCACTTTTTACTTATGCATCATCACCACCTTTGCTGTTTACTTTGCAGTGGTGAGCCGTTGACTGTTCAATTGCCTGGAACACAAACAAGAAGTTTCTGTTATGTTTCTGACATGGTATGCTACACTTTCCTCTTCACATTGCCCAGGATTATTGTGTTAGTGTTGCTGCAGTTCAGTTTCTTATTGTTTTTAATTGTTGAAGGTTGATGGCCTCATCCGACTTATGGAAGGAGAGCACACTGGGCCAATCAATATTGGAAATCCAGGTCATTGCAGAAGTTCTCAGAGTTGATTCTTTGGCTTTAAATATACTTCTTCTGTTTCCATCACTAAAATATATCTTGTTTTCTTGCTACTTCAGGTGAATTTACGATGCTTGAACTTGCAGAGGCTGTTAAGGAGGTTAGTGTTTGGTTCCATTGTTGTTGTCCTGGCCATATTGTTCTCTGTTTCTGATAAAGCACTGAATGTCTGTGGATGATAACAAGTCATTTCCAGACATTGTTAATTTCAGAAGAATAAGATTTGTAAATTAAATGATCACTAAAATGCTTGATTGTGTGTTGCAGCTTATCAATCCTGAGGTTGAAATTGCAAAGGTGGAAAATACTCCTGATGATCCTCGTCAAAGGAAGCCAGACATAACAAAAGCAAAGGAGTTGCTAGGATGGGAACCAAAGATAAAGTTGCGTGACGGCCTCCCCCTTATGGAAGAGGACTTCCGTCAGAGGCTTGGGGTTCCCAAGAAGAAGGAATTAAACGCGATACTGTAAATTCAGAAGACTACGGTCAGGTGCTCCAAAGCAGTTCTTCATGTTATTTACTGCATCTTATTATGGTCCGAATAAAATATGGAATTATTTTTTTAAGAATAAATGTATGGTTTTTTCTTTTTAATTGAATAAATGTATGATTTTTCAATTTGGAGAAAAAACTAGTAGGGAATTTGGATGATTTTATGGTTTGATGGGAAGAAAAATTTATATTTTATGGCAATATTTTATATATTTGGGTTTTCCATCTTGTGATTTTTCTTATGTTGCTGCATACGCAGAAGAATTTTCAGATGACAATGCCAGAGGAAAGTATTCATGAAGATGGAAATGAAAATATTTATGAAGATGGAAATGAAAATAAATGTAAGAGCTAAACCCCAATCAAACTATTTTGTATTCTCATACTAGAGAACATCCCAAAATGTCAACAAGAAGAGACACGGATATGCTGGGAAAAATAATGCAATTTATTAACTAGCTTATTGCATCTCATCATCACAATCAATATACAATAATCTAGCTGAGTGATAACAGATAAATTAAATTAAAAAAGAAAAAAAAAAAAAGATTGTTAGATGAATGTGAGCTTCGAAGATGTGGTCTTTCTTTAGAAATTAATACTATGCCTTCTAGGCTTCTGCTACCCCTTGGACTTGTCGAACCTTCTCTTTCTTTTTCACAGCCTTTTTGGGTGGTAGATTAGATTCTCATCATCTGTTCCTGTTTGCTCAATCCTCGCAAAGACCGGTTTAGGTTGAGACATGACCTGACCACCCTTTAGACCACCCCACTTGGTTTCCCCCTGCAAGGAACATCTAATTATTTGTTAATAAAACAGTAACTTGAAAATTTCTTCAGTGATATATATGTGCTGAGGGTGAGAAAGAGGGAAACTGACCCAGGTTGCATTCTTGAACTCATCCTCAGAGTAGCCAAGCTGTGCATATATCCTCTGACATAAGCTAGGCACCACTGGGGATAAAGCAACTGCTATGATCCTCATCGTTTCCAATATAATCACTAGATCCTGCAAAAACATGAAAAAGAAATAAGCATCCTTAAGCTAGGTGCGACTGGGGATAAAGCAACAGCTATGATCTTCATCAATATAATCATTAGATCCTGCCCAAACACAAAAAAGAAACAAGCATCCTAAACAAATCCAAGTACTGCACATGAAAACACATGGGCACCTCTGCTTAGATGCTTGCAAAGGAGAGGTCAAACTTTATGCTTTCATAAAATGTTAGCTTTTTCCTACATGGAATTTATACATGGTTGTGGAAAATTATGCAAAAGACTTAAAGAAGGAACATAAGTTAAAAGGAAGGACCCTTGCTGCAGCTTCAGAAGCAGCGCCTCCTTGTTTAAAAAGAGACCATGGTGCACGTTCATCCATGTACGAATTTCCAGCATTTCCAATCTCTAGGACAGCTTCACAAGCTAATGATAATGAGAGGTTTTCATAATGGATCCGAGCCTTTTCAATCTATAAAAATAAAAGCAACTAATAAAATGTCATAAGCAGTTAAGCACACTTAATAAATCAAGTTAAAGAGAGGTATGGGGATAGAAATCATTTGGCAGAAAACAATCAGAAAGCTCTAATATAGTGCTATTCGTAGCACTAGACAAAATTTCATGCAAATCTTACCAGCTTCAAAACAGTATCCTTGAAAGTATTTCCTTCAGCCACAGCAATTGAATCAGCCACTAAGGTGGATTGGCAGTTCTTTTTAAGAAGCCCAAGAGTTCGGTTAAGAAGATTTCCTGCAGAGAAGAAAAGGTCATCTATATCCATGTTGGCTTAAGAATGAATAAATTAAAGAAAACAGCCCAAATGATCGACTTAAAAGTTAAATATAACAACTGAAGAGCACCTATAGTGTTGGCAAGATGTGCATTGACAACATTAATGAATCGATCCTCTGAATAGTCCCCATCATTTCCAAATTCCACCTCCCTGAGGAAGAAATACCGGACAGCATCAGGTCCAAATTTACTAAGTAATTCTTTTGGTTCAATTGTATTCCCTAAAGACTTCCCCATCTTCATGCCATCCTACAATTTTCAAAATAAAAAGCATTGCTGTATGAACTAAAATTAGTTTATATAAGAAAAAAAATTAAAAGATTTTTTTTTTTAAAAAGACAAAAAAAAAAAAATTAAAAGATTAGATCTGCTAGCTTAGTTAATTCTTGTTATACACATATGTCAATTCTATTTGATTACCTTTGTCAAGAATCCATGGCCAAACACAACCTTAGGAAGACTCAATCCAGCAGAAATTAGCATAGCAGGCCAGTAAACTGCATGAAAACGCAAAATATCCTACAGAAGCATATGAAGCACCAGAGAAGAATTACAACTCTGTACAATCATGGAAACAAGGGAATAAAGTTAATCTGGACTAAACAAGACAAATAAAGGATAACCAAATAATGTTTTTCACATCTGACAACTGTTTCCATGTTAGCTTCAATAGAGAAGTAGGAAGCAAAGTAGAGTAGATTGAATACCTTTCCAATCAAGTGTAGTGAGGCTGGCCAACCTGAAGAAACAGCACTCTGTAAATCCTGCTGCTCTTTATTCTCTGACAGGGCTGATATGTAGCTGTTTTTGGAAAAATTTACCCATTAAAAACTTAAGCAACAAAAGTCTTTTTACAACGCAACAGTAGAGAAATGACTAATACAAAAGAAACTGAGGCTTTTATTATCTTCTTCCATTTTTAAAGAGCTGTTAGAAACTTAGAATGTCAAGAAAACATTTTATAGCAGTTGCATTTTAACAGTAGAAAAAATGAAAAATTAAAGCCTCCCAAGTCCTAAACATATATGGCCAAAAGAAAGTCCTAACCAAATAGAAATAATGGATAATAAGCCTACAGCATAAAACAGTTTCTACTTGTATGAAAGATGAATTTTACCCTAGCAAAGCATCAAACCAAACGTAAATAGTTTGCTTGTTGTCATTGGGAACTGGAATACCCCATTCCACTGATGCTCGGGAAATGGAGAAGTCTTTTAAGCCACTTTTGATCCAACTTTGCACCTAGAAAGTTATAGAAAAATTGAGTTTAGTGACATCGTCAGACAAAGTTCATGCACCTAGAAAATTGGTTATAGCAAAATTGAGTTCAGTGAGATCATGAGACAAAGTCCATAGCTTGAATGTCTAAGGCAAATACAGTCAAACGATAAGCAAAGTCCCACATTGCTCACCTCATTAAGACGAAATGAAGGCTGAACAAAATTTGGATTCTCCAAGAAAGTTTGTTCTAGTAATTTTTGGTACTTTGACAGTGCAAAGAAGTAATTATTTTCTTTCCTAGGAACACAAGGCTTTAGGTGCATGGGGCAACAGTTGTTTTCAAGCAGCTCTTTCTCGTCCTGCAGATTAAAGAAATGCTAATAACATTATACCATTTAAGATCAGAATCACAGGCTTTTCTTCCTCAGAATGAGTCAGTGCAAATGTAGTATATTTCACATACAGATTTCTTTTATACCAATCACGTCAAAGCAAGAACTTGGTAATGTTCTTGCTGATCATCACAAGTTCTAGGAATTATCAATATCAAAATCTATCTTCTCGAAGGAAATTTATCCCATGAAATTTCCTTTTTAATCAATCCAATGATCAGGTTAAATTAATTCAAAGCACCTGATTGCAAAAGATGCAACGGGAAGATGATAATACAAGGTACCACCTTATACTCCTCACAGTTGACACAGTAAAGCCCCTCATAGTCAGCCTGGTAAATGTCACCCTTTTCAAGAACCCTAGAATAAAATTCTTTCACAATTGCCTCATGTTTAGGATCAGTCGTGCGGATGAACTTATCATAGGCAATATCTAACTGCAAACAGCCAAAAAAAGAGCAGACATAAGAACACACTATAATGCTATAACATCATTGCTCACAGACCAAGGACAAAATATTATGAAGGAGACTAGGGAAAAATTACATATTTCCATAGTGTTATGTAAGATTGAGCTATGACATCACAATGCTCACTTGGACTAGAACCATTAGCAGCTGCAGCTGTAGCTATTTTCTCCCCATGCTCATCTGTGCCTGTAATAAATATTACCTTTTTCCCCAAGAGCCTCTGCCAGAAAATACGCAAAAGCCATGAGAACATGCATTCCCAAAACCACATTCCAGTATTAACCAAGATTACAAACTTTCTTAACTTCATTTGCAAGAAGAAACGAAACACACCCACACCCAGCTTTATAAACAAGAAAAGAAGTGCATCCTTTTCAGGTAAAATCACTTACAGTCATCAATTTCTAAAATTCTATACGAGCACTGAATAGAAACAATAAAAACTCATTAAGGAAATGAAAAAACGATATAAACAAAACCCATTAAAACTGAAATAACATTGAACGGTACCTGAAATCGAGCAATGGCATCAGCAGCTATGGTAGTGTAGGCACTTCCCATATGAGGGGGAGCATTCACGTAATAAAGAGGAGTTGTGAGGACAAAAGGCTCCCCTAATTCTCCACTTTGGGGATTGTTTTTGCCCCTATCATTGCTGCTTGAGCAACTGCAAAACATGGCTCTTTTTGAAGAAGACAAAGAAGAAAGGACGAGACTTTGAGGAAAATTCAGGCGATTCTTGAAATGGGTGGCTCTAGAATTGAAGGAACATATTGGATTTAAAAGCCACAAACTGTTTTGTATCGAGCTATTCAAATTTACTCTAGCTGCTGCCATTTTTACAACTGAAAAAGCTGTAAAAAATATGCAGTCACTACTAATCGATTCTTTGCTTCTTTTGACTTCGTTTTCCTCTCTCTTTCATTCTAGTTTTTTTATTCATCAGTAGTCAAGGAGGAAGAAGGAGGTCCATATACTGTTCCTGTGAGGCTGCTTCTGCTTCGAACCAAGAAGCTTGACGTCGTCGCTCTATCGACAGGGTGAGGAAGACAAAGGGGAGTAGCGGTGTTTTCAGAAAAAGAACAGTTCAATAATATCTTGCCACGTTATTTTTTTTTTTACAGAAATAATTGTTAACCATTTTAAACGAATAGGCTTGCTTGGAAGCAGGTTTAAGATTTTCCTTGTCCTGATTAAAGACATCCTCCTCCGTAACAGATTTCACTTAGCCCCAAAAGTTTTATACCCTTCCACAGCTGCTTAGGCTTCTGCCTACCAAAGGCCCCAACCCATTTGGGCCTTTAGGCCACTGAGTTGTGAGTTACAATTTTTTCATGTGTTGGCTCCATGCAAATGAAATAGGCAAAACCCCACCCTTAAGCTCCCAGATTTATTTCAAATTAACACCTGAGCCCTTAAACTAAAAAGGCTATAAATAAGCCCTCAAACCCCCTCCAATTATGTAAATTAGCCTTCAAACCCCTCAAGAAAATGCAACTAAGCTTTCATTATTAACAATTCAGCGCATTTGATCTCATGCTTTATATTCTTTTCTTTCTTATAGTCTCATTTTTCATGTAAATCAAAAGACTCCTTTGAAGATAAAATCTTATTAAAATAACCCGGAGTTTCAAAATACCAAATAAAAAAGACGGTAAATGGGCCATTTTTGCAAAATTTTTACTACCCAATGGGTCCTTTGTAAGGGCTTGTCTAAAGGTATTGTATCAAAAGTTCATAAATTTTGTAATAAAATTTTGCTAGGTTTGTGAATTTTTTTGTATTTATTAGGAAGTTAACATTGGTAAAATTTGTGAAGAAAAGTCAAATGAATCCCATATTAAGAAAGTCGTGACAAAGATTTTTTTTTTTCTTTTACATACCAAAAAAATAAAAAGTATATATATAGTAAATTTACTCTCCTTTATTGTAATATTACACATCTTAGAAGTATGATTTTATAAATTAGGTGCAAAACTCTATTTGGCCCAATATTTTAGGGAATTTAATTTTTTTAGGAAAAAGCTTGAAAGATGGTTATTTTTATATAACATTATATATTATTTAATAATTAATTATTTTCATTATTTTGGAATTCATAATATTTTAAATGTTAATTCATCTAATAACATATAAAAATTATAAAAAAAATTATCTATAAAACATAACTCAAATTTTATATGCTTCATATTAATGGGAGGCTGCATCATTAAAATTAATTGATAAAAAATAATTTCTAGATACACAAATTTGTTCACGATCACCTCACCTTCCAAACTATAATAAATACTAATTGAAAGAGACTCTTTCGCTTTATCATGATTAATTTCTTTTTTAACAGCCAAAAATAAGCTTTATCATGATTCTTTAAACATTGAGATAGGGATTGGTCAAAAATGACTGCTGGTACATGTACAATTTAAAGGAGGATTTAGGCTAAGCAGACAAAATATATATAGTCCACATGCAATTATTGGATAATTTCTAATGTCAAGTTGCACTTTATTCCAAAGCTAATTTCTAATGTCAAGTTGCACTTTAGTCCAAAGCTAAAACATTATAAAATATTGAATGTAATATCTTTCCTCAATGTTGGGTTATTTTTAATTCTAAGTTGTGGTTGGCTTAGGAAATGCATCTCAATCATGTGAGACCCATCCAATTGTAATCAGCGCATGTTGTCTTCATCCAAGTTCCTTTTCTTATTTAAAGCAACCTTAATAATGTCTGCTAATTTATTCAATCACGGGCAAACGCATTAATCGTGAAAAGGGCTGGTTGTTTTCTCCTCACCTTTCAATGGGTTCTAATTAATGTTATTCTCTAGTCAATTTCATCTTTATTAGAGCTTGCACAATAAATAAATAAAAAATTACTATAATGTCATACCATCACAATTAATATTATTTATATAAATTTAGATTTTTATATCTTTAACCATAAAATAAAAATATTTAACAAAATATTTATTCTCCAATATATATATATTTAAATAAAGCTTTTTAAAAAATATTATTAATATTATTTTATTTAAAACAAAGGAATTGAATTTTTTTTTTTTGAAAAAAAAAAAAATCAGCCCTGGGATTTAAGACGGCTTATGTGGGTGATGCAGGCATTGAAAACCAATGGTTGCACTGCCTGACGCGCATGGCAAGTGGGCAAATTCTTTTGCCCATTTTAGGCAAAAATGGCATCATCTTTGCCTTAAAAAGGGGCAAAACAATGAACAGAGCTGAGCTCCCCTATTTTAAATTGATTAAGTGGATGGAAATATTTGCTTTGTTCCCATTTTTATAAAAGATCATCGAGGAAAGCATGCGTTTTACATGCTCTAAGTTCTTCCACCTAACTCTGCTACAAAAATTTTATTTCAATATTTACTTTAAAAAATGTATTAAATTGTAAATTTATATAAAGTAATTATAAAAGTGTTTTAAGATCAAAATTAATTTCAAGATGCGCACAAAATTTATTCAATAATAATATTTAGGGAGTTGAGGGTTAATTTATAACATATTTACTCTTTATCTTATTAATTAAAGTTTTATTTTATAGAAGGTTAATTAAAAAATAATTTTTTATTAATTCTTAATTTTGATGTAAATTGTCTTTCTTTAATTAAATCAAAGAGAAATTGGTTTTTTTTTTTCCTGTGCAAATTGGAATTCATTAATCTAGTTAAGTTTTCAGAAAAAAAGGTCTTATACATGGTATAACCATTTTGATCATGAAAAAAAACAAGATGAACAAAAAATAAGAATTGAATCAAAACAACAAAAGACTCCTCCAAACATGCATCATGTTTGGCTAATGTATTGACCACCCTATTTACTTTCACAGTAGGTTTGCTTAAGCAATGCCGTATCAAACCTCTTGATCAATAATCTGCATGATGCGGCATTAATTAAGCTTTGAGAAAAAAGGCCTAGGGATGTTTAGGTTGGTTATGGAGGCGATGAGTTTCATAATGCACGCTTCATTAAGCTTGCTGTACTTGCGGATGCCTAAACCACCATTTGATTTAGGTTGGCAAGTTATGTCCCAGTTAACAAGGTGAAGTCTGCATTTGTTGCATCCAGCCAAAGAAAGTCACGCGCAAGGTTGTCAAGAGCTTTGGCAGTGCTAGCCGGAAGGATACAACATTGCGTGACATGCATAGGAAGAGAACCAAGGGTGGAATTAATTAATTTGAGTCTTAAGAAATTTGGCTTTCCAGCCTGAAAGCTTTTGCTTAGCTTTGTCTAGCATGAAGTTGAAGTCAGCCTTTGATATTCTTCTAGAAACCATGGGAAATCCAAGGTGCTTGCCAATAGTAGATGTTTTTTTGTAGTCTTAGAAGAGAGCAGATGTGATTGTTGGTATCAAGAGGAACATTGGGTGAAAAAAGAACTTTTTATTTTCGGAGGTTAATAGACTGTCCAGAGAGGAAGCAGAAATGGTCTAAGGTGTTTTTGATGGCCTCAGTGGTAGATATGGTGGCTTTTCCAAAAAGGAGAATGTTATCCGCAAAAAGAATATAGGAAAAGGGGGGGTCCATTTTCTGGAAGCCTTGAGAGGCTTCCATAATCCAGCTTGACAATTTCTTTCAATGAGGAAGGAAAGGTACTTCATACAAAGACTGAAAATGTATGGTGAAATAGGATCCCCTTGATGAAGTCCTTTTGAAGGTAAAAAGCTCATCAGAGAGAGATCCATTGATACTAATGGCAGTAGATGTGGGGCAAATATAGCACATAATCATCTTGATCAATAAAGGAGGAAAACCAAAGTGAATGAGGCAATTTTTAATAAAATCCCATTTAAAACTATCAAAGGTGTTATTAAGATCAATCTTAATGGCTATCTAACCAATTCACCCCTTCTTTTTTCCGTGGATATTACAATTTCCTAGGCAACAATGACATTATCAACAACCAATCACCTAGGAATAAAGTTGGATTATAGAGGGCTAATAAGATTATTTAGAAAAGGCCTAAGTCTAATGACTAAGAGTTTGGGAAATAGTTTGCAAATGGTGTTGCAAAGGCTGATAGGGCAGAAGTGAGAGACAGGTGAAGGATTATTGATTTTTGGAATAAGAGTGATAATTGTTTGGTTGATATCAAAATGGATAGCTCTGATAAGAAAAAAGGATTTAATAGCATCGCAAACAGATCCTTTAACACAGGACCAAAAATTTTGAAAGAAAACTACATGTAATCCATCTTTACTTGGAGCCTTAAGCGGATGGAAAGATTTGAGAGCAGTAAAAATGTCTTATTCGCACATCACACATATTTGTGCTGAAGTTAGTAAGAGAAGAAGTGGGGCTCCTATTAGCATCTAAGTTAGAAGAAATGGGGCTGAAAAGTTTCCTAGTGGTATAAAGGCTTTAGAAGTGATTGGAAATGGAGGAACGAACTTCACGAGGAGAAGTAATTTCATTGCTACTGTCATCAAGAAAGGAAAAAATTCGATCATGTTTCCTTCTTGGAATGGTGCTAAGATGAAAAAACTTAGAATTACAATCCCATCAAGAATGGAAACTTAAAAAAAAATTAGTTTTAAGTATAAGTAAGTTGACTTAAAAATATTTTGATTACTAAAAGAATAATTAATTTAATAACATTGTATATTGGGGAAAAAAAAACACTATAAGTGATTAATATGGTTATAATCATACAAAATATTATTATAACCACACAAATTTTAAAATACTACTCTTATGAGTACTGATTTTTTTAAAAAAATTTGATTGATAAAAATAATTAATAATTAATAAAATAATTAATACTTATTAATTAATAAATTAATATATAAATTGATAAATTTAAATATAATAACTAACTCTTTAAGGATTAAAATTTAAATTTGTGTGATTATATTGTTAATGGCAATAATGTGCGTTGGGGAATAACTGCACCTTGAGTTGGGTGAGTATGAGCCTCCGAATTAAAAAAAAAAAAATCACAAAAAATTGTTTGTTTTTGCCTCTCACTGAATAAAATCACTAAAACAACCCTAAAATACGGGTTCCAGCTGGTGGGCCATCCGCAACGACAACCTCAAGTATTCAATTTCAGGAGAAATTTTCAGGAACCACAATGAATCATTCTGTAAAAGTTATGAGCGGAAGATTCGAGAAGGATTAGAGAACTCACCGAAAGGAAAGACGAGAGAAAGGTCGTACAAATTCTCCGTTAAACTGTACTTAGCTGTTTTTAGTTAAAGATGAGTTGGCCTACTTTAACGAGGTGTTAACGTTTGATTGGTACCGGAAACCATGTCAGCTGGTATACCGGTGACACACTAGAATTTCTCCAAAGGCTCCATTCATCAAGACAAAAAGAAAAACATGTGGAAATCTTCACAACAATCGCCGCACAACCATTCAGCGGCTCCTTGAATACCGAGATTGCCCGACGAACCCGGCGCGTCCCTAAACTCTCTGGCATCGTCTCAGACATGTGCGTTCGCGGCAGCGACGTCGTCGTCATTCAATCAGGTAAGCGCCCTGGCGAGCCCTCCGTCATCACCGTCAATTGTCCGGATAAGCCCGGCCTCGGCTGCGATCTCTGCAGTATCATACTAGAGTTCGGTCTGTGTATCACCCACGGAGGTACGTTTATACATAAACATATCCATTAAGTAATTCGTTTACATATGCTCATGCGTTTTCGTTTCTTTTCTTTCTTTTTTTTTTTTTTGGGGGGGGTGTGGTGGTGATGCAGACTGCTCGACAGACGGAAAATGGTGTTACGTTATATTCTCGGTGGTGCCGAATTCGAGCTCGCAGAAAGTGGATTGGGAAAGCTTGAAAAATAGGTTGTTTTCTGTGTGCCCTTCATGTCTGGGTTCGTATTACTTCGACCAGAAACCCGCCGCCGCCTCTCCTTCGATCTATCTGTTAAAGCTCTGTTGCCTGGACCGGAAGGGTTTGCTACACGGTAGCTTCATCACAGCTTTGATTATCCTTCGTGGGTTATTTCGTCCTCTCCCAAACTGATGTGTTTTGCATGGGGGTTCTTATGCAGATGTAACTAAATCACTTTCTGAGCTCGAGTTTACGATCCAAAGAGTAAAAGTGATGACCGCCCCAGATGGCAGAGTTTTGGACTTGATCTTCATCACAGATGGAATGTAAGCTTTTGTGTTCCAAAAATTATTTTACATGAGAGACTTATGTATCAATGGTCCGTTGAATCATGCATAAATTGTAGATGTTGTTTTTTAAATTTTCTTGTCCTAAAATTATTGAGTTTCTCCTTTTTAGTTGTCCTAAAATTCTTGAAACTCCCCGAAAACATGCTCTTGGATAGGTGGAATAAATAGATTAAGTTCAAAATCATTTTTTTCGTTTGAATTTTGCCTCAATCAGCTGCTTTACCTACATTCACTCACCAAAGTATTTTGTTTGCTCTTGCAACAAATTGATATAGTCTCACTGCATTTCTTTGTGACATCATTGTGCTTTTAAGATATCAGTATTGTTGACAATGTCCCTTGAAAATTGATACTTGAAGCCCTTGAAAGAGAGAACAAGATGAGGTTCATGAGAAAAAAGTAGTCATGAAGGTTCTGAAACCCTGGTAGAAGGTTCTGGATCTAGGAGAAGAGAAAAAGGGTAAGAGAGCAACAAGGTTATGGAACTTTATGATGAAGTTCTGAAACCTGATGCCCAAGGACACTTTTTGATGAAGTGTCAACTTTCTATTGGTGGGTATGGCCTTATTCTTGTTACCAAACACCCCAAACTCAAGATCCATTTATGTGTTTAATTGTAAACCTAAGTGTGGTGAGTGAGAGAGTCACCAAAAGAGAGAGCGACCAAAGAGGTTTGGTGTGTGAGAGACTAAGTGTGAGTCTTCATTGAATTGAGAAACACTTAGTGTTCGAGAGGTGAAAACACTATTCTCAAACACTATTATGAGAGAGTGTTCATCACCAAGAGTGGTGGGATTGTGAGGATTCTTGAGAGATATTAAGTGAGAGTGGGTGAGATTATTTGGGCATCCAGTGGTGAGAGGTTGTCTCCCAAATTAATGCTTTTGCTTGATTATAGTGGATTCTTGCATTCTCTGTGATTTTTTCCCTGTCGTCTTGGGGTTTTCCATGTAAATTGGTGTGTTGATTCACTTGGGCATTTGATTTCCATATTGACCCTTTGCTTCCTTCATGTTTGGGGCATTGTGTGTGTGTGTGTGTGTGTGTGTGTTAGAATACCCAACAAATACCTTTCTGTCAGTTGAGTTCATGGCTTTGTGATTGTCTTTAAAAGGAATAGATTGTGAAATTTGAAGATGAGATGCGTTGAAAATTTTGTGCTGGAAACTCCAGCTTAGTAATTGGCCATACCTCTCTACTGTGGTCTAAAAAAATTGGTAATATCTAATTTCAGGGAGCTTCTACATACAAAACAGAGGCGAAACGATACAACTGAACATCTGATATCCACTTTAGGCGAGTACTATTTAAGCTGTGAACTTCAGTTGGCTGGGCCAGAATATGAAAATCTTAAGGGGTTCTCTTCTCTCCCTCCGGAAGTTGCTGAAGAATTATTTAGCTCTGAGCTCTCTGAGAAGAAAGCCTGCTCACAAGGACTCATGGTTGATCTGGCTGCATCCAAGAAGGCTAGTGTTATTGTGGATAATCTCTTGAGTCCAGCTCATACATTGCTTCAAATACAGTGTCTCGATCAGAAATGCCTCTTTTATGACATTTTAAGGACTTCAAAGGACTTAAATATTCAGGTACTTGCTCTTGAGATTCTTTTTCATGAATTCCTCTTTAACCATCATGGGAACATTGAAAATGGTAAGCTTCTATTCCTTCAGATTTATTGATCTTTAAGCAAGTAAAATCACATAAGTGGCACAAGGCAGCTTCCACATGCTTCTTTTATAATGTGCCTTCATATCTCAACTGGTTTGTTATACTAGCTAATGGTGGCAACGAGTAGTTTACCAATATCTCTTTTTTTTTGGTCATATAGATTGCTTACGGTAGATTCTATCCAAGCATTAATGGCTATCGTAACATGGATCTTTTCATTCGGCAAGCAGATGGGAAAAAGATTGTGGATCCTGAACATCTGATTGATTTGTGTTCCCGTTTAAAGGAGGAGATGGTTCACCCTTTACGAGTAATTGTTGTCAACCGAGGCCCAGATACTGAACTCTTGGTTGCTAATCCTGTTGAGTTATGTGGAAAGGGAAGACCCCGAGTTTTCTACGACGTTACATTGGCTCTTAAAATGCTACAAATATGTATTTTCTCGGTAAGAGTTTAATGGGAGCTTCTTGTTTTCATTTTACTTTGAGATTTTCGGTTCCATACATCTCTAGACCATAAATGTTTTTACACTTTTGCTTGTAGGCTGAGATTGGAAGGCACTCAACTTTAGATCGCGAATGGGAAGTCTACAGATTTCTTCTGAGCGAAACCTGCGAATTTCCATTGGCAAGCAATAGAGCTAGAAGTCAGATTGTGGACAGAGTGAGAAGAACATTATTGGAAAGGTGAATTTAATCTGTTTGTCGAACTTACTCTGAGAAATGGTCTTGCCCTCGTCAAGATTGCCACTCAAAATGGTCCTTATTCAACATCCACTACAGTATCCAAGTTTGCTGATGTGCACAGTAGGAAGTCTTGGATAAAAGAGGTGGAGGTTATGTGACTTGTGAAGATTGTAGTATAAGCCACTTTAGCTCTTATGTTCTTCACTATAACATGAAAGTTACCTCCTTAGCATGTTTAGTACACAAGTAGTTTCATGCGTACAATGTATGCTCTTGATGGTTCTGAAACAGATGCTTCTGGGGTGTCAATGCATCTTCACTATCCATTGGCAATGCAGTGCCTTTTTAATGCAGAAAGTGGTTTGTCAAGAAATCAGAAATAAGGTTTTCTGGAGCATCACAGTTCATAAGAACTTTGGTTTTGTTTGTGTAGGCAGCATAATCACGAAAGGGATCAATCCCAATGTTGGATAACTGTACGGTTTTAGATAGATTAAAAAGTCTAAACTCCAAAAATAAAAAAATAAAAAATAAAAGAAAGGAAAAGATAAACATTGAGATTGAGCTATAATGTAATACTGCCATGGCAGACTCCATCGTAGTTGATGGCTGTACATCCTATGTTCTCACTATATATAATTTTTAAGCACTAAATGTAACCAATAACGGGTCCATAGCTCAGTGGTAGAGCATTTGACTGCAGATCAAGAGGTCACCGGTTCGAACCCGGTTGGGCCCTTTCTTTTTTTTATTTTTAAAATTTATACAACACCTCAAAGAGACAGTTCATCAAAGAGTAAAGGTCACATGACTATAAAGACAATAGTCATACCCAATCCTCCCGCCTATTTTTCCAATTCGACGCAAGAAAACCTTACCCAACCCGCTCACACCCTAACCCTAGTTCCTCCATACACCAGATTCCAGGTGCCGTCGGAGTTCGGATAACCGTCATCGTAATCGCGTTGGCGACCTCTGTAACTACCTCATATCTACCACTTCCATGAATCTGCCGACATCGCTTTCGACATTGAGCTTGATTGATTGTAGCATTCCTTCCGTCAAAAGATTCTGACGATTCATCCGTTCATAATCACGAATCTGAATATTCATCTCTTAGCATCGCGATCGATCTTCAGTTTGACTAGTTGGCTGAAGGATATAATCGTCGGTGGACCAGCCGATCCGGCAACGAGGCATCTGTACTCGATCTTCACTCCGGTTATAGAAACAGAAACCTAAAAGAGCGCGGGGAAATGCGATGGGAAATAGAGGTAATTTAATTGATTCTTCGTGATGCCCGAATATGTCTTCTCCTGAGTTAAGATTAGAATCACTATCTTAATTACAAGCTTGTCGACAGATTTTTTTTGTTGCCGAGTCATAAAGATATTTTCCTCTTCGATTGTCTGCTAGATCTGTTTAAGACTGATGAGGCACCTGCACTCGATCTTCGCATCGGTTATGGGAACAGCAGGTGATCGGAGCTGAAAAGCGTCAAGATAACATAGCGCTCCCACTGCTATGCAGTCCAAATTTCTTGGCTCCAACCTCACACGGAAGCCCTGGAAATACGGCCGGTGACAACAGCGTCGTCGGTTCCATCCGGTCCTTCTAACCGAGCGGGAAGGGCTTGGCCTTGGCAAGAAAAGTAGGAGGGTGAGA